ATTAAAGTCATATGTCCACATTTCATCATGGGACAAAGGTAAGCCTGGTTTATTGAAGGATATGCCTTTAGAATATAAGCTGACTTTGGAATGTAGTAGGTCCTACCAAGCTGGAAAGGCTTCCATATACAGCTAGGGACAGACTGTGTATCTGCTCCCTGAGGACTAGCCAAGCTCTGTTCGGAGAGATCCACCCACCACCAGTCATCAGGTCACTAACACTTCTGACTACAGCAGTTCTTGAACACTGTGAACAAAGGTGAAGAATGGTAGTGATTTGTATCATCGGAAAGTGTCCCCCACATTGATGAAATCATGGACACTTGCGGTACTTAAGCCTAAGTTTTAGATTATTCCCACAGCCTAGTTTCTGCTCTCATGGTTCCACTGAAGTTTTGTGCTCTAACAAGTGTTGAAATACAAGAACTAAAAGGGATCTTATAAATCATCTAGTTTGATGCAAAAATTGAAGGAAGGATCCCCTCCACAGTATTGCTGAGACACTGCTCTTCAGCCTTTGAATGACCTTCTACTCACTACATTCTCAGCTCTCATTCTCCCTGATGTCTCTGCAACTTCAGATAAAAATGCCCAACCCCAACTCCTTCCATTTGTTTTTTTGGGTTTCTATGACATTATACTATTCTGATCCTCTTCCTACTCCTCTATCTCTGCCACTAATTTTTTAGCAAGTTCTTTTACCTATTGCCTACAAAGGTGGCCCTTCCCCAAAGGTTCAGTTCTTGGTCCTCTGGCTCTCCACTTTCTACACAGTCTCTTCTAGAGACATCATCTACTGCTGTGACTTCAACTATTGTTACACACTTGAGCACACACAAACGCACAAATACCAGCTGGAAACTTCCACTTAGCTGTCTTGCTGTTACTTCATACTCAATACACCTAAAACTAAGTTCATAATTTTCTACTCTCAAAGTGGCTGTTTTTTATTAATGGTGAACACTGCCCTCCTAATCATTCAGACTCAAAACTTATTTTTATTATTTCTTTATTATAGCCCATCCCACCAAGTTTGGAAGATTCTTTCATTCTACTATTTCTTGCACATATATCTAATCTTTATCTAGTTCTATCATCCTCTTTCCATTACAAATTCACCAGATTATAACAGCTTCAAATTATTCTCCTTTCTTTTTGTCCCTCTCTTTCCATTTCATTTTACTCATTGGCTGCCAATTAATCACCATAAAGCACTGGTTTAATGTCACTTCCCTTTAAATTTTCAGTAGCTCCTCATTGCTCCTAGGATAAAAGTCCAAAAGTCCATTAGAAGGGAAGGAAACAATCATTTATTAAAATTTATTATATTACTATGTGCCAAACATTATACTAAGCACTGAGGATATAAATGCAATTTTAAAAAAAGTCTGTCCTCAAGCAGCTTACATTTTAACGGGTGAAGATAACAGAAAACGGGGAGCTAAAAGATGGAGGGATGTAGGGGTGGATAAAAGTACTTGGATGGAAGAATGATTCTGAAGTCTGGAAAATCAGCCAAGGACTCAGAAAGGAATGAAGGCAGGCTGGCCTGTTCCTCCTTCAGAAAACGGAGGCTCCAGGGGAGGACATGGGAACTAATAAAGTTTGAAGAATCCTCAAATGTACAATGGAGACAAAAATCCACTAACTTACCTAGATCACCGGATTATTATATGCAAGGAAGGTGCTTTGCAAATCAAAATCTCTTGGATAAATATGGGCTGTCATTACTATTACCACTACTCATTAGGCATTTAATCGTGTACTGTTGTGTGACATCTCATGCATCTGATGTTAATGTTTACTGCCACCTAACTTTACACATGTTTATGCCTTGTCTCCCCAATTAGTCCATAAACTCACAGATGGTGAAAACCAATTTCTCTGACAGTGATTACCATGAAAATGGTTTAAGGGCTATGACATAACTTGAAGTCTAATTGGGAGACAAGGCAAGAACATATGAAAAGTTAAAACTGTCACACAGGCTAAATAGTTAATCTGGAGAAGCAGCAAACTTCTTTTTATGTCCCAAGAAACCTCGGATAGTGCCCTGCACAGAGAACGGGTACTCAACAACATGTCAATCATTAGGTTGCCTAACATACATGCGATTAAAAGAAACAACTTTAACATGAAAATAAACTATTGGAATCATTAGCTTTCAGCAACAAAAGATTCTGAAAAGATAGCTGAATATGAATTCAGCTAAAGATGGGACAAGCTGCTGGAAAACCTGGCTTATCCTAGAAAAGTTACCCAATTCTAGAAAATATTTTTAAGTAAGAACAAAGGTCTGTTAGTAAAATTTGGCAGATCTAAATATATACTTATGACAAATTAACTTCTACTAATTACAAGCAAGAATATTAACACAAATTAATTCAATTCACACATACAATGATCCTTATATTTTAAAATGGTTCAACTCCTTCTCTTATCAAACCTTTCACCAGGAATGATGAAAAATAGTTTTGGCTTTTGATTTCTGTCTTTCTTCTACTTTGAAGTTCTCACAGAGATCCTCATTACCAGTGAAAAGGCCAAGAGTGCAGGTTACAAAAACGGACAATCCGGGAAGTTTAGCATAAGCCCAGAATAATTTCAAACTTACCCTTACCAGAGCCTGAAAACTATTTAAAAAAGTGTCACAGATATGGGAAGATTAGAGACACCAACTACTGAGGTTCTCTTGATCTATTCAAACACACAGAGCTGTTCAAAGAGCAAAAAAATAGTGAATTGAAATTGATGTCACGGAAGCCCTTCCTTTGTTTAGAGGGAAGAATTGTTTTAATTTCTTTGTTTTAAATGAAATAAGGGTGTGATTATTCACCTCTAATACCTATATACCATATTTGTGGAACAGAGCACAAATGTCCTTTAAAAAGAATCTCTCCTGTCATACATCTCCCTAATAAGTACAGAACTCTTAAAGAGTTAAACTCCCAGAGAGCAGGCATTTGGATGTGAGCATGATCTATGTTCTCTAGATTCTGACACTTGTAGGTGCCTAATAATTACTGAACAGCAACAAATTACGAAACTGAAGGCAATGGGCTAGTCTCCTTGTGTTTCTTTATCCATGTTATAATGACATAGTTGAGAAAAGGTTTAGTGATATAAATTCTGCAGCAACAAAATGAGACATTTTTAAGGCAAAATATTGCTAAAGGAGCCAAAGGTGTCCCAGACCTTCTTCAGAAGAGCTAGTCTCCATTTCCTTGAGGTGAATGGGAGCAGACTTGCACCATACTCCTATTTCCACTGCACTACAGAAAATGCTGACAGGCTACAAGGAAGGAAGCAATCTATCTCTCCAGTCTTTCACATACTACTCTTTTTCATGTGCTTTTAAGTCTAGCCAAACTCGCCTTTCTGGATGTTCCCAACATGTGGCCTTCCATCTCCCCCTCTCATCTAGTATTTGTTTTGTACATAGGTGCAAGTTTTCTGCCATGATAGAATGTAAGCAGGTTGAGGGTAGGAATAGTTTTATTTTTGTCTTTGTAACTCTGAGTACTTAGCAATGGACCTGGCACACAGTAGGAACTTAATAAACACTTGTTGATTGACTGATTAATCAGGTTGATGCCTTCCAGTTGGTGACTGACCTACTTGTCTTAAAGACTGACTGGTACATCAAAACCAATTGATTGAGGACTTGTTATGTATAGTAAGAGCAATTTGCTTACTTACTTACACATTAAGCACCACTTTTTTTTAAAAAAAGAGTCTAGTATGTTTTCTCCATTTTTACCTAATGACTAAGAATCTCTCTCCACTACCAATTCTGCTGATTTTCCTTGCTTTCAAGGTCCACTTCATCAGCAATCTACATCCTTCTTTATTGGCATGAACAGCAGAAAGTATCCATCTATATGTTTATATACACACAGTCCTTCCTTTGACAGTGATCACTATGAAAGTGTTTTAAAGACTACACGGTCTCATGCTGAACACACTGCTTTTTTATGTTTCCTTTTCAGTAAGCATTTCTGTTCAAGAATCCAATTACTGTCCCTGTCTTTGGGGGGGGAAATGTCCTGTAGAGACTTGAAACAGCCAACGATTCGTGTCATCAATAGTTGAGTTTTGAAACTGTCTTAGTTATTATATAAGCTTCTTGAAGATAGACTGATGATCTTTACAACACCCAAAGAGCCCATCCAACATAAGTTCAAACATCCGTTGATTGTTGAGATATATCCTAGTGCATCAACAAAATCTAGGGCGTATTCCCAATTTTCTAGTGTCTTGCAATCACGTGTTGTTCTGAGTATTGAATCCAATATTTTTACTACATATCTATATTTACTATGTATCTCTAACATAGCTAGGACTTGGTGCACTTTCCCAGATGCATAAGATAAGCCCTTTTAAAAGAGTTTCCACAAAACCTATAAATGACAAGCCAAGTATTGCTCCTGGATTGAGCTGAGAGACCAAGTTTCTGTGATTTCTATGCAAACAGTTGTCTATTCACATGCCTTAGGGAGTTGAGAGGCAAAGAGAAGTAGAAAGAAGGAGGGAAAGGGGGAGAATCCAGAGTATCAAAGTCAAGATCAGACATGCAGATCTAAGGGAGAAATTTGCCTTACATGCAATCGCTGGTGGGGAGAAGCTTATGACACCATGATTAACAATCTGATCAAAGCTGCTAGGCTCACAGCTTGCTCTAACTAATATACAGATTCATGCAGTTCACTCATTTGCCTAATAATGCCCCTAATCCTAACTAGCATGTACATGGTAAGTCAAGTTGAAACCTAGCCAGCATTTAAAGAAAGACTGATTACAACTCAGCCTACACACATAATACCCTTCTGAACTACAATTTGCTACACTGCAATTTCCACTTTCGTAAGCAGGAAAATTAATCTGTTAATTTGAAGGGGGAAAAAGTCTAATAAATAATTCCCATCACAATAAATATATATAATATATACTTCACAGGAAGGGAAGTAGTACAACTAGAAATCTTATTTATATGTACTTACTGAGATTGTACCATTGTCTAGACCTATGGACAGTCTTCTTGTTTCCGGGTTAAAAGACATGCATGAACATGGAGCTGAAAAAAATGAACATGTTGATGATGTTAACAAATCTATGATTTTTTATGGATTCTAGGATGCCTAACTAGCTAATTCGACAAGGGGATTTTCTTAAGAAAAAAGAAAAGAAAATTTTGACATTTTCCTGAAGTACAATTCATTCAGTCCCCAATCACAACAAAACAAAATCAGCAACATCGGATGTTCCTAGTTCCATTCCTTTACCCTTTCAGTGAACCCTTAAAGCCAATGTTTCTCAACCTGGGGAAGTTCCAAGGGATCTGGGAAACTAGAACATGGCTCTTTCTCTCTGCTTTCTATCAACACTGTAAATAAACCCTGCCCTCTTCCTCTTCTGGTTAAATTCTGCTCAGTAGGATTATAAGCATCTTTTCAGCCCTCATTATACTCCCTTCTACCAGGACCCAGGCTCATACAAACACAATCTATCATGTCTGAAATGGAAAAAACAAAAAAAGAGAGAGATGTTACCATACTGTCATGCCCTTAACAGGAAGGAAATCCAGACTTTACATCTTTCCCATTCCCCCTAACTTTTCTTTTTTTCTGGAAATAGGAGCGATGTGGAGCTGATGGGCTGAGAGCAGAATTCAGGGTAGCTTGCTGAATAAAAGTTATAGAAGAATATTGAAGCAAAGATTCCAATAACAGCAGCCAAGACCCAAGGCCTTGGGGGGGAAAAGTGATCCTACACAGCTTAGAGACTGTTTAGCACAAACTATAATGATCTGAGCATGAGGAAAACAGGGTCTATACCTGGATCCATGGCAGACTTGCCACCTGGTAAGTCTGAATCTAATAATTCTTGCTGATAAAATGTGGGTAACTTAGATACTGTTTGCTATGTAACTAAACTGTCTCTGATATAAACACAAACGTATATGTGTGTGTATGCATGCATGCATGTATGTATATGTGAATGCATGTATCTACCTACCTACTTCGATGTGCCTCCTAGGATGTTGAAATTTTAATATCCCAAATATCTTCTAAGAATAATATAATTTAAAGAAAGCCCCATTATGTTCTGAGCACCCCAGGAGATAGAATAATACTTTTATTCCATTTCACAGATGATTTACATAGGCTCTCAGAGTAAAATTTTGAGGAAGTTCAGACTGAAATCCAAACCTGATCCTTAGCCTTATTGCATTTTCAACAAATTACCTCAATTAGGTTTTCTTTTCCTTTTTTTGGGGGGGGGAGGAAATTGGGGTTAAGTGACTTGCCCAGAGTCACACAGCTAGTAAGTGTCAAGTGTCTGAGGCCAGATTTGAAATCAGGTCCTCCTGACTCCAAGGCCGGAGCTCCATCTACTGTACCACCTAGCTGCCCTGGGTCTTAATTCTTTTCAAAGGCACAGTCAAGAAACAAGATCTTTTGAATTGTTTAATCATTTAGTTTTTTCCCCCAGTTTTTTATCATCTGGTTATTGAATATATTAAAGCCTAGAGAAATACAGAAACTAAATACAAAGAAAAAACAAATTATGTATACAAAATTTTAATTAGTTGATGCCACTATCATAGTTAAGGCATCTTCTTATGAAGCAGTAAGTTTCAGCTAGATAACCAGAGGCAATATGCTGAAAAGTTGGAGCAACATTTCAAGTAATGATGTCCCAAAGAATGTCCAAAGAAAAGTGATGGCCACTAAGCGCCTCCTGTCCCTGGGCACAAGTCTCTGCAACAGCAGTGGGGAACCTGCAGCCTGCAGGCCACATGTGGCCCTCTAGGTCCTCAAGTGCTGCCCTTTGCAAATCCAAACTCTGAAGAAGGGGTCTACTGGTCCACACCCTAAAATAGCACTGGAAGATCCCTGAATCTCCTTAGAGGTGGGAATCCAGACAAAAGAAGTCTCAGAGCTTTTCAGCATCTGTTCCTTGGCACTCAAGGGAAATCACTCCAAGGTGGACCCTTGGATTTGAAGGCTGGGTCATTCTGGGAGGAGAATCACTGTAAATTATGGTTTCTATCTGTTCCATACCTAGGACTTAGGCTGCTTTAGGACCTAAGGCCTTTGACATGGACACACTGGCTACAGAGAGCCTACTCTAGTACCAGTCAGGCCCAGGAAAGTCCAACTTTCTTCATTCATCCTGAGAGAAAATTGCTAAGATAACAGCATTTATCTTTGGTACTGCCTTACATCCACTACTCCTTCTACTCCTGAGGTGGCAAGGTGGTACTGGAGTCAGGAAAACCAGAGTTCCAATCCAGCCTCGGGCACTTACTCATAGTATGGCCCTGAGCAAGTCATTCAACCTCTGTCTCCCCCACTATAAAATGGTGATAATAATAGCACCCACCTCCCAGGGCTGTTGTGAGGATCAAATGAGATAATATTTGTAAAAGTACTTAACATAGTGCCCAGCACAGAGTAAACAATTTTTCTCTTCTTTTCGCCAGGTGAATCTGATACTGCTCTCTGGTTGACTAGAGTCCTCAAATGTGAAACCCCAACCAAACCTGATCTTATTATGCAACCAACCCCACCCCCATCAAACTTAGGTCGTAGTGCCTGAAAAAACTGAAGATGCATTTACATCCATCTCTAAGCCAGTAGGTAAATCTGAGAGAGCTGCCCAAAGAATAAAGAAATAACTTAAAACTTTTCGCAGAGCATATCAGAAGCACTATTTGAATCCCTGTCTTGCCAATTCCAAAGCCAACATTCTATCTACTAAGTCCATATTACTCTGCTTTTTAAAGGCAGACACAGGAAGTTGACCCATGATTTCAGTGACACGTGGAACACCAGACAAGGAAACTCCCTTTATCAATGCAGCCTGGCACATCCCTCTGCAGCTGCCCAGAGAACTGAGAGGTCACGTGATTTGCCCAGGATCACACAGCCAGTATTTATTGGGGGCAGGATTGGAACCCAAGTATTCCTTACTTTGAGGTCACTTCTCCTTACTCCAACAAAATTGCACTATTTCAATGTCTCAGCAACTCAAAAACCATCTCCCTGGTTTTTCAAAGTGGCAGCTAGTCACAAATGTCATAGGTGAGAGCAAATGACTTGAAGGGTTACTCTTCCTAGGTGATATACATAGGACTGACCCAAATGACAGGAATTTCAGATGCTTTGGGCAAGCCACTGGGGAAAATATTCCTGACAGACAAGTCAGAGAATCAGATTTAGAGCTGGAGGCAATCTTAAAGATCATCCTGTCTAACCCTCTTATTTTACAGGTGAAGAAACTGAGGCACAGAGAGTGAATCACTCAAATATCACAAGTAATAAATGGCAGAACAAGGATCCTTTGACTCTCAAACCCTCTGCCTCTGGGTTACTTTTGGAGCCTCTCCAACATTTCCCCTCCGGTGCCCCTAACAACTGTTTTAGCACCATCAGAACTACATTATATAGTTAAGATGTGATACTGGCAACACATTATAGACTCATGATCATGTTCATTTGTTATCCTCCCAGTCACTCAGGCTCAGAAACATGACTCCTCCCTCACCCTGCCTCACCTCCATATCTCATCTCTGGCCAAGTCCTCTCTCCTATGTTCCCTCTCCTCGTGTGGGCCCTCATCACTCCACATCTGGACTAGTACAATAGCCCGCTGGGGCTGGTCTCCCTGCCTCACATCTCTCCCTAGTCAAGTCCATCCTCTACTCAGTTGCCACAGTGATCTTCCTAAAAGCACAGGTCTGATTGTATCACCCCTCTATCCAATAAAGTCCAGTGGCTCCCTATTACCTCTAGGATGAAATCCCGTTGGACTTTTAAAGTCTTTCATGATCTGGCTCCTTCCTACCTTTCCAGGCTTCTTATACCTTACTCCCCCCTCCACCTACCCTTTCAGTGATGTTGGCTTCCTTGCTGTTCCACGAACAAGACACTACATTTTTCTCTGGCTATCTCCCATGCATAGACTATACTCCCCCCTCATCTCTTGCTTCCTGGCTTCCTTCAAATCTCAGTTGAAATTTTTCTATAAGAATCTTTAATGCTAGTGGCCTTCCCTTTCTTGATTATCTCCAGTTTATCTTGTATACATATCTTATTTGTACCTGGTTGTTTGCATGTTGTCTCCCTCACTGGACCATGAGCTCCTTCAGAGCAGGGACTGTCTTTAGCCTTTCTTTGTACCCCTGGCACTTAGCACAGTGCCTACCTGGTAAACTGTAGGTGCTTAATAAACACTAGTTGAATGACTGAGTGATTAGAAGGTGAAGAGTGAGGGGCTTGTTTTCACTACCTAAAACACTTGCAGTCACTGAAGGATAAAGAAATGAAGCTGATGAGGCACAGCTATCGGCATCTGTCATTAAAGTTATTTACTGTTTTGAAATTTATAGATTTCTATAACTGACAAGAGCTACTTCTGGCACTAACACCTCAGAAATGAGTAACAAAAGTTATCTCTGGAAAATAATCACGAGTGTGGGTGGCCACATGAGACCTACACCCGGAAGCCAAATGCCAGGCACACCAAACATGAAGGGGGTAAAAGTATTCTAGGAAGATGAGATGAAGTGGCAGGGAGGATGAGGATAAGATAGCAGGCTGGATCCTTTAGCTAGAGATTCAGCCAGGCAATCTCACTAGAACTACCTGTAACTGCAACCAAAAAAAAAAGTTTAAAAAATGACATTTCATGAGTAATTAAGAATTCTGTTGAAGAGGCTGGTGGAGGTGACAGTTTATAATATAATAAATAATCATCCACGCTGAGAGTCTAGAACGTAGAAGAGGAAAGCACTACTCTGCCATCTTAAAACTGCCTTCCAACAGAATATGGGCACAGTACCTGGCTGGAAAATATGAAATTGGAATGTGACTGACTTCAGCTGTATTTCTCTTGACTCCCAAAATATCAAATTCTAACTATGTAGTCCAACTTGGATGAAAATCTTGGGAAAATCTAAAGAACTATCCCCACTATCTTAAATTGTTAATTGCACCGGGAAAATGTGTTCACCTGTATAGTTTACACATTAGCCTATCTCAGTCCAGCGACTGAAGTGTGATACTTTGCCCCTGTGCCTTACCTTAAAACCCTAGGGTTTACACTTTTCTCTAACTTTACCTGGGCTCTTTGGCTAACATATTTTAAAACTCCCCAAACTCTTGAGGAAATAGGGGTTAACAGCACAGGAATCTGTTTTCTGTGCTAGCTGAATACAGATTTGTTATCTCATCGCCTTTCTCTCTCAGAGTGATGACAGAAGCAAGAATTGAATCTGGCAGAGGTTCAGGGGAGCGAGATAATGAAAAGTATAAACGATCCAACAGGAATTTGAACAAGGCTGCAGGAAATGGGGAATAGCACAGGCCTCCAGAGCAGTGGGCCTCTGGGTACCAACGGGTTGTTAAAATTTCATTTTTGAAAATTTAACACATTGCATAAAATTAAGCGATCCCACAACTCCAATGGAGTCTTTGTAACTGAGTGCTGGTACTGAGCCCTAAAGTTTAATGAAGGTTGAAATAAGGAGAACTCACTGCAATGTAATTACCCTAATGAACATGTAATTTAGAAGGGAAGAATCTGAGGGGATGTAAGGGAGGGACAATGATGAATTGAAAGGCAGAACAGATCCAACAGAAAGTCAATAATTAAACAGATCAGAGGGGGACTAGCTGCTTGTACTTGGGTTATATTTTAAAGACAGTTTTCAAAGAACTGTTTTCCCATAGGTGCTTCAAAGAACTCTCTTCTCACCTAGTAAAATTACCCACACTCAACGAAAAGTACCTGACAATATATTCTCAAGACACCTTGATTGGGCCTGAGAGTTGAGGGAGAAAAAAAATCCTAATTTGTATTACTTACAGAGAAACTTCTTTCATTTTAGGACTAATTTATTTTGTCTTTTGCTGACCCACTGAACTGCACACACAGATAAACAGAAGTTTGATATGCTGTGGAACAGTTGGTTTCGATCACATTCTGGGGGTGGGGGGTGCTTTACAACACTAAAAGCCACATTTGGCAGGAAGAACTGATCTTCCTTGTGAAATGTTTTGGTTGGAATTTAAAAACTTAAATAAACATCGGTATTTCTGAGGCCCAAAATACCTTAGGTTTAAAAGGTTCATCCTGGTGAAGTTAAGTGGTAGGGTACTGTGATCCCAGGTCCCTGATTGTATCCTGTAAAGGGTAATAACCTCCCTGGAGCAGGCACTTAACTCCCAGACATTTATTTCACTCACAATGGCTTGTCAGAGGAACACAGACTGGAAGCACAGAGCCTGCTATTTACCTTATTAAACATGCCTATGTTTAGCATTTCAATTGCCAGGAAGTAATAAAAAATCTTTCATCTACATTCAATATATCATGCGGTTTTCTGAAATTCAGAATCTTCTTTTGTTTTAATTCAGACTCCCTGTCAGCAGGGAATCGTAAATTATTTTAAATGTAAAGCACAACAGACTTAAAGTATGCTTAGCTCATGAGAAAAAAAAAAAGGAAATATATAAGTGAAAAAGAGTACTAAGAAGCAAATTCTGTTCACACTTATTTTGGGAAAGGCACTTATTCAGCGACTGTCCATGCTTTCTCTTACTGCCTTGTATGTGTCCTTCCCCTCATTTGCAGCTGACAGTTATCATCAGTCATGATATTGCTAAATTCAAAAACAGCCCATCATGGACAATGAAAGGAAGACTAGCCAGTTCTCATACAGGACAGCACAATAAATAACACCTGCATCAAATAAAGGAGAAACTCTACGAAGTAATAATGGGTTACACCACTAATAACCAAGGACCCACTTAAAATAAGATTCAAATGAAATTTTAACAAAATGAGTAATTCCAAATGACATGTAAGGCTACCTTCTCCAGTGTGGAGAATGACTCCTCACAGTGATGCAAAGATGCTATTAAAAGCAATGCCAAACAAAACAAAACAACAACACAACCCCATGACTTCCTTGTAAATTACTGAAAAGCCACCTGCTCTCCTTAGAGTGGGAGCACTTGCCCTAAGAAGGCTGCACTTTCTCGTAGGCAGTTTCATCCCACTGTGGGAGACACAGAGTGGGCATGACAAAGCAACACATACTCGTAAGTTTTTAAGGATTTGTGGGTTACTATAAACAAATCTATGAGAAACTAGGTTGCTATGTCACTGAATGACCTTACTTGCATGAGTGTTTATGACAAAAGAGGTACAAAAACAATTGGGCACAAGAAATTCAGAGTTGTCTTAAATCCCACCAAGGCTCATCGAGATGGACAGACACACAGCCAGACAGGAAGAAACATTTAAAGACTTGGTCATCTGCCTCACACATGAATCATCGTTGGCCCATACAAACATGAGAAAGCCTTTTGTCAGGCTTATGGGTGCCATTTTGGAAGACATAGGAACAGTCTTCAAGAAAGTGATGGCCACCAGAAACCACATGCATTGGCCAAGAGGTTTGACAGCAACACTAGCAATCCCTACACATACAACCTAGACTTCTTGCCTTTGAAGTGGGCTGTTACGAGAAGTTCAAAAACCTTATACGGGGTAAAGTTGCAAGTTTTGATTGACAACAATCAACCGACATTTTCTGACCAGTGCCTAGTCAGATACCGCTTGCCAGAGATGGGCAGCAGCGCTAACCG